CAACTAGTAGTTGTCCCGTAGTGGCAGGACTCGTAGTAGTGGCAGCAGGAGTGGCACAAGTGGACCTAGAGCAGCAGCTGCAGCAGCAGTAGTAGTCCCGTAGTGGCCAGGCAAGACTTGTAGTAGTGGCAGCAGGAGTGGCGGCACAAGAGATGTAAAGAAGTCAACAGTCTAAGCGTCACAGTGTCACACGTTTGATCATGACGGTCTCATCCTCCGCCCCAACCCTCCACCCCCCCACCCCAGAGTGCGCTTGTAGTAGTGGCAGCAGGAGTAGCAGAAGTGGACCTAGAGCAGCCGCAGGAGCAGCAGCAGTAGTGGCGCCGTACTGGCAAGAGTTGCAGTAGCGGCAGCAGGAGTGGCGGCACAAATGGATGTAAAGAAGCCAAGTGTCTAAGTGTGATACGTCCGATCATGACGGTGCCATCCCGCCCCACTCCCCTCCCCGGAATGCGGAAACATGGGTGCTGATGGACCTAGTACTAGTAGTAGTAGTCGTCGTAGTAGTAGTAGTAGCAGTAGTAGTAGTAATAGTAGTAGTAGTAGTAGTAGTAGCAGTAGTAATAGTAGTATCAGCATTACTTGATACTGTTTCCGCTCGTATGACTTGCTACGACGACAACGACGATTTCGACTACGACGTTCTGCCTCAATCTGGGTACGCTCACCTGGAACCGCTAATTTGGCCAATGTCGTTATGATGATTGTCACGCTTAGCCGCAAGAGCCTCATGCAACCATTGATGGTGGTTGCCCAGGAGGGAAGCCGGCGAGAGCTGCACTGCTCAGGTTTTGAACACGCTTCAAGCCCAGATCCTTCAGACGGTGCAACACCGAAAGTGCTTAGAAACTTTGTAATCTTGCATTGAGGGATCCGGATTACAGTCCTGGTCGCCAAGTGAGTAGGATAACGCGCATCACGTGACGGTTGTGCTAGACTGCCAGAGTTGAGGTCGGCATTGCGGTATGTTTTAGTGGGCTTTTTGGTTCTGGCGACTTACGCTGTGTTATCTAGGGGAACCTTGCCAAAGCGATTTTGCCTTTCAAGATGCGCAACTGCGGCATCATGTAATGCTCGTTGCACGAGCTGCAATCGCAGCCGTGTTTCGTGCCATGTCGAAGTTGTGGCCATCGTAATAAACATGGAGTCCGAAACGACAAGCACATAATCTCGGTTCTTGCAATTTTAACCCCAGCTTGGGTTTCGACACTTCATGTGTTGCCGAGTGGGCTTTTTGGATGTTACTTGAGGTTCCTTACTGCAACATGTTTTTCAACGTGCGACTGGTATCCGGGATATGGCTCACCAGGGTGGCCTTGTGTAGCGTCGGACTGCCAGAGGCGAACATTGAAGTGCGAAACCCGAAACCCGAAATACATTAAATCTTAAGGCGCCCCAGACCCCAAACCGGGTAAGCACTGAAAAGCTTCACTCCGAACACTCACCGCCTGAACCCTTAGACCCAACTGCATCCCTACAAACCCTGAAGCTTGAAAGGTCGTCCTAGCAGTTTGTCAAGTGTTTTCAAAAGTACATGTTCTTGCTGTGTCTCATTATCTTGTAGCAAACCTTGACGGACATACTGTTTCCAAAGGGTCGGCGACGGACTGTCAACCCAACACCCAAAGGGCGGGAGATTATCGTTGCAAGACCTGCGACAGACATCTTGCGAATCTTTAAAATGAACCCACACACCCTAAGCCCTCTCCCGGTTTATGATTACAAGGCGCAGGTGGTCAAAGAACATCTCGGGCTGAACGTTGAGGCTGGATGCTGCATCTCCACCCCACAAGCTCATAGTCGCGCAAAGCATTGAATACGGTAGGGCCTTCTGGCCCAACAATCTAGAGTCCTAGAGACATAGATCCTCAGAGCCATATAGGTTGTTCGGTAAGAGGGCGGCACAAATTGAATAACACTGCAGGAAGAGCAAGCAAGTTTGCATGCACGCTTGCCCGCACATGAGATGTACGACGTGACACAGCATCCCGGTCATGACAGGTCGGAAAACTCCTAGGTTCCTGAGTAGTACCCCCTTTTTATTGTATGGTTCCCTTATTCAAACGGATTAACAGGAAAAAGGCTACCCGTATTTTTATGGGGTCAAACAGGAACCTAGACTCTTATTGTTGTTGGATGTACCTTTCGCTCCGCTTGTGAACTTCGATGTTCATGTAAATCACAAGCCTTGACACTTACCAAGCGTCTGAAGACAACGCAGCAAAAGCCTAAACTGCAAGCCCCAACACCCCTAAACCCTCAACCCCGAAATCATTACTGATATCCCCCAGAGTTTCTTCATATAATTGCAGCATGTTTACAACCCCAAAAATCCCCAAGCTATAATATAGCATTTCTGTTCCTGTTGTCTATACCCTACTGGATTTCATAAAGCTATATTCTAAAATCAAAAGAAGGAACCCAGCCTTGGTCAGGAGCCGCTCATGAAGCAGCTGGGGGCCCAGGGCAAGGCGCCACTCGGTTGAGTGCTTTGGTGTAGGGCATTAGGGGTTTAGGGGTTAAGGGTTTAGGCTTTTTTACAGGGCTTTTTTAGTGATTTAGGGGTTTAGGGGTGTAGGGGTTTGGGGTTGAGAGGCTTTGCAGGTTTCTTGCTTCGTGGTTTCACTGCACTGCTAGTACTACTACTACTCCTACTACTACTACTACTACTACTACTGCTACTACTGCTACTATTGCTGCTGCTGCTACTACTACTACTACTACTACTACTACTAGAACGACGACGACGACTACTACTATAACTGCTAACTACTAACTACTAAGTACTAACTGCTACTAACTGCTAACTACTAACTACTAACTACTGACTACTGACTGCTGACTACTGACTACTGACTACTGACTACTGACGACGACGACTACTACTACTACTACTACTACTACTACTGCTACTACTGCTACTACCACCACTACCACTACCGCTAGGTGGGTGACGACGACAACAACAACAACTACTACTACTACTGCTGCTACTGCTCCTGCTCCTACTGTGCTCTGCTCAAAGTTCGCTGAGCTTTCATTGTCCATGGCCTGCCCTTGCCTCTTATTTTGTTCATGTTGAATATTTTTCGGCACATTGCAAGCCCGGGACAGGGCTAGCGGGAGTCGCGACGATTCGCAAAAGGGCAGGTGGTTCCGTGACGATGTAACCTCGGTTTCGGCAGTTCTGTCCTGATGCCCGCAGGTTCGGTCATTTGGAACTGAGCTGCATGTGTGGTGCCGTGACTATCCGTGTTGCGATTCGACCTTCCTCTTGGTGGAGGCAGTGTGTCCGCGTCCTCCGGCCAGTGCGAGCCATTGTAAAATCCAATTCCTTACTGTATAGAACATGGTTGAAAGAAGGGTTCATGGGAGGCTCTGTGGACTCTATAGAGAAGTTTATAGGAGTAGGGTTGTGAGAAGGGTTTGGCTGCGTGGATGGATGAATGGATGGACGGACGGACGGATGGACAGATGGACGGAGAGACGCATGGATGGATGGACGATGGATGGGTGGATGATTGGATGATTGGATGAGTGGATGGATGGATGTACTGCTCTTGTAGCGTCGTGACAATTTGCCCTTGGATTTGGCAACCCTCTTGGTTACGCCGGCGTGTTGTGTATCTTCGGTGAACGCGATCCATGGTAAATTCCAATATGTTGGCCTCATATTGGTCTCGAAACGACAAGCCTCTCAGCGATCCCGGTGTCTACTAGCGCTGTGTGCGTGGGGCAACGTGGACTCTGACCTCAAAATGCTTGACTCTCGTATTTCTTGGGGGAAGATTTTGGTCATTTTTCAATCCCGCCAATACATGGGGGGAAGCAGTTTGGCCGAACTTCTCAAACCCGTGCGAAGTGGGCCAGTACTGCCGGGAAACAAGGAAACCTTGAGTCACTCCTCAAGTTTTTTTCCGCGTAATCGGCCCACAATCTCGGCTCTAGCGCCTAGTGCACCACTACCGGATCGAAAAGCCAAAAAAAGGCTCAGGAAAGTCTCTGGAAAAAACGGCAACGGAATCAGATAAAGCTGACCACCAAAGCTACCAAACAGACCCTTTGTTTCGGTCCTCGGCAGTCGGCCACAACCCGGAACGCAAGCAACCCACACAACCCGTGGACCAGCCACGCTTGCGTGTAGTTCAATCTTGGTAGCATACGTAGCTTCACTTCAGAGACCGACATGAGGCGGCGGGGAGAGCTGCGGCTGCAAATAGAAGTGAAGGAGCAGCGCAGCCTCCATATTCTGGTTCAGTCTGCGACACTGCTCATCTATCATGCCACAGGGTCATATTACACAAGCACACAATGCACACGGTAGACCTTGCGTTTGGTTTGTGCGCTCAGCAAAGATGAAAATTGAGGACTAACCAGCATGGCAAGCCATACATTGGCCACTTGCGGGTCACATTGACAGCATATGGAATGCAGAAAAGGCCAGCAGAGCAAGAAGGTTTTGCTCGTGGCACCGGTTACAATGTACCAGGAAAAGTAAATTTCCAGGCGGTTTTGCTTATAGCGCCGGGCAGGGAATGCCTCCGAGCAACCTGCAGTGCAGCCCTAGCCGAAATTCATCAGAAAGCACTGCTCACCGCACATGACCAGAGAGTACCTGACCAGCTCAGTGGCAGGACATGGCAGGACACTTTGTTGTACTGAGCAGCCGCAGCCGCATGATACTGCATGCACGCGTTCTATTTCCTGTACAGTGATCGTTCAGATCAGTCGACGAAACTGGGGTCACCAGACCAGAACTCTTGAGCACTTTTGAGGCAAATCCTGTTCATCCATGCGACATTACGTGACGTGTTCTGGTGGGGCATTCTAGGAGATATATACACGGGATGAAACAAGACACAGGCAGTGGCAGACTGTGAGCCGGAGATGTTGTTGTCCCAAGGAGAAGCCGACAGAACTTGCAGCAGCCTAAGTTGCACAGCTCGAACATAGGCTGGCCTGCAATCCATACTATTGAAGGGGAGGCTGTGGCTGCACAGGCTCCGGGCATGGCGGTTGGATCTGGATGTGAAGCAAACTGGGACTGTCTCGTTCCCTGACTTCGCGCACCCCGGCCATATGGGTTCGGGCGACTTTCGTTGCAAAGCCGTCGCGGCAGACCGGAAGCACTCAGCGAAGATCGGTGATGTGCACTTGTCGAAGTGCCTGTATGTGGCTTGCAAGGAATGCTTGTCGCCGGCTTGGGCTACAGGGACAATGTCGGATGATCTGGACATCGCTCCGCCCGCTTGATGACAAAGCGCTCGAGTCGCCTGACTGTAAAGAGCCTCGTGCTCAGAGCTCCCAAGAGTTTGGCCGGTTGCCACACGTAGCCTTCGATCCACCTGGCATAATTGCGGTACACTTTTCATAGCCAAAAGGATGTGTCTTTTTTTTAAGGGCGGGATAGGTCTCAGCTTCGTCTTTCGGGGGCCCGTCGCAGTTTGGAAGTCTTGTTGCGGGTCTTGCATTGCCTGGGACGGCTCGGGGTCTATGTATTCCGAAAGCCTTCGGTGCCCGAACTTGGACCGAACAGCTGCACCAGGGTAGGCGAGCGTGCTACGATGCGCCCTTGAGCTGAGGTTTGCTGACCTTGCACCCAATGAAGCTGCTCACGTCGAGGCTTTTGCAGAGATGATTTGGGAGGACACTTGGTTGCACGATAGAAGCGGCAGACATCTCTGCAGCCGGAAGACTGTCTGGAATCCGAGGCCTCTGGCTATGACTTGGACAAAGCTCGGCCGCCCGTGTTGACGCCGACAGACTCTTCCACTCTGTGCCCAGCCGGAATGCAGGCCTGGCGCTTGTTCGACTATGACCAGAAAAACAAGCTGACAAAGGCGCCGGACGAAGCCCACAGGCTACAGCCAACTAGAGTCTTGGTCAGGCAGACTTCGTCCAGAGTGCACGGCACCTGGGCTTCCAAGGCAGTGCTGTCAGATCCCAAGAACCAGAGATGCGCTAGCGACGCATGGTGCGACGGTTGCGTGCCTCGTGGAGTTCGTGAGGATCTGCTGTTCAAAGGCTTGGACGCAACAGGACTAGGCTGAATGCCTGCATTACACTGCATTCTGGATGAGATTGGGGTCATTGCTACATTTGCTACATCATTCCCGGGCTACACAGGCTGGGTGTGGCGGGATGATTTCGACTACATCCCAAAGGCACTGGCACGCATGGAGTTGTGGACCTGCTTTGGAATCCCACGTGCAGGTGTCGCAGGTCGCGCGGCAGAGGCTGCATGGCGCTGAAGGCCCGGAGCCGTGGGAGTTCTCAGATCGCAGCCACAGAGCCCCGCAGCTTCGAGCCTTTGAGGACCTCTGGCCTGGTCCCAAGACTTCGAGAGAGATTTTCTGAAATCGTAGAACTGGCAAGGCGTTCGACGCTTCGCCACACTGAGGCTGGCCTGGTCCGCTTTGCTCAGCGCGAGATGGGGGGCGCTGAGGCCTGCGACTCCGACGGCCCTGGCCAAAAGCCGAAGTTGACAAAATCGGTGGGGCGGCAGGAGCTGATTTCGAAGCTTGGCCTTGGTGGCGCACAGAGCGAGGCCGGTGTAACTGTGGAGTGTGCACGGGATCTGAGAAGCGAGTTAGGTCACAGTCTGCGATCTTGCGGCCCGCCTGACGGCCCTGGGATACGACGGAGATGCACAGCGCGTGGCTGTGCATGCAGCGAAGCCACTTGCATGCAAGCAGACGAGTCCAAACCTCCTGCAGGTCGTCGTCTCATGTTGCCCAGGTGCGACAGTGGAAGTGGCACCAATGTGTCATCAGAGAAGCTGTACAGAATTCTCAGTGCCCAGAAGAAAGAGAAACCCCGCGCTTCCGACCGAAGCAGCCTCAGCTTTGTTCATGTATGTACATGTTGCCAACATGTCAATGTGCACACCAGCATGCATGCTGCTTTCGCACAAGGGGCAGACGAACCAGCATCAATTTCTCCGAATGTCTACATGCGAAAGCGTTCTACTGGCACAGGCCGTTTCTGTTGATGCATCGACACCTCTTTTAAGGGGTTGAGTTGAATAGTGGGGGTTGAGTTGAACCTGCGAGGTGTGTCGGCAAAGTTGCTTGCAAAGAAGAAGCCGAAGACCCCGGCTCCATGAAAGCATTTCTGTTTCTGCTCACTTGAGGAGCAATTGAAAGTGAGTTATGCAATTGCAGCGTTTTGCTGGATGATGCTCTCTTTGCACCCAAGGTGTCGCAGCACCCTCCATGGAACAGCAGCATGCAGGATCTAATAGGCGACTCGAGCTCGCCTCAGGTGGTGAGCACAGGACGGAAAACTATCCAGCTTCGCCACATGGACTCCAAGGAACAAGCTGCACCCAAACCTCAGAAAGTATTTCTCCGATTTCGATCCAGAAAACATACGGAAGAAGCAGGCGCATCAGTTCAGAACGCAGACGTCCAGCTGTCAGCTGTGGTCAGTCAGAGAGCAATGCCAGGCTGCAAGTCAGGCCATGAAGGAGGCTGAACGGAGCTTGGAAATGTCTTGGGCGGAGGCACAGTGCTCAGAGTCACAGTCTGAGGCAAAGACTTCCTCCAAGTTTTCGCCGCCAGCCAGGACAAGACTCCAGGGGTTAAGATTGGGATTGCTGCTATGTCGCACATCTTTGATGCAAAGATCCCTTGACAAGCAGGGCTTCCACGACTTCGAGATCTACTGCAGCACGGCAGGCTCAGAGTGAGTGCAGACATGTACACACACACACATGGAGCGTCGGCTTAGAGCACGTGACCCAGGCCAAGCCGAACTGGATCACATCCTTGCCGGCAGAAAGCGAGAACACACCAAGGGCGTGCAGGCACTCCGAAGATGTCATGGGCCAATGCAAGAAGTTCCGCTGCGCGCCAGCAGCAGCAACAGCAGCCCCGCTTCACCACCGCCATCGCAGGCGCCACCATCTCCACCAGCGCCACCAGCGAAACCACAGCCAGCCCCACGACGTCGATTGCAGCTGCTCCTCCTCCTACGACGACGACGACGACTACGACCACGACGACGACGACGACTACTACTACGCATACTCCCGCTCGCTACTGCTACTGCTAGTGCTAGTGCTACTGCTACTGCTACTGCGACCCCCACCACCACCGCCGCCGACACCACCACCACCACCGCCGCCACCACCACCGCCGCCACCGCCACCACCACCACCACCACGACGACTACTACTACGACGGTTGCCACTACACTAACTGTAACTGAGGCAGTGAGGATGAGTCTCAGGGGCATCACTTTTCCAAGGTCCCAAGTCTCGGCACATCAGCGGTTATTTCGCATCGGAGCATGGTTGGCTTTTGGAGGGTGGCCGCAGAGATCTCTCCTGCTCTTGCAGTGGAGGGCCCCAGCGCGGAACATGCCGCTCATGCAATTCTCATCGCAGCCGACATCGCTGCTCTAGCACATGCCAAAGTCAAAAACCATCCCAGACTGTGATACGCTACCTCGCCAAAGCTCCTCCTTGGGTGGTTTCACGGGCATGGAATTGACTTCGCACTTACCGAGAGTGCTTCGTGTATTAAACTCCATCTTGCATGGTGCCAATATCTCTGCGTGTTCTCATCCCTCACTTGCAGGGGGATGTCGTCGTTCACTTGCACCAGGATGGCAACAACGAGCCGCAGTGTCCCAACATGAAAGTACATTTGCAGCCGATGGCAAAGCTTTTGGACACACTGCTCGGGGGGTCGTGCCCTTGATGAGCTGTCGGACCGTGAGACGATGATGAGCATCACCCGGCCGGCTGTTATCTTCCTGCCGAATCCACCGCGCGCTGCCGCGCCGTGGGCCTCGGGTAGCAGGCTAGCAGGCTCGTTTCCTAGATCGTCTCAATCCTGAACTGTGGCAGTACTTGATTGACTTGAGATTTCACCATTTCGCAGACACATGCCGCGACCGACCGATGGATGCCTGCCGGACTTGCTGCTCAACTGTTTAAGTTAATGGACGTCTCGCACGTGCCCACTCGAAGTGGCATACAGCTGCAAGCCCAAGTCGCATGACATACGCGTGGTACCACCATGTAGCCAGCGACGCATCGCTGACCTAGTTTCCTGTCGCGGCGTCGGGACCCATGATTGCAGTACATATGCAAACTGCCACACCCGCACTTGCACCACCACGACCACGATCAAGGAAACGGCCACGGCCACACGGCCACGGTACTGCTACTGCTACCGCTACTGCTGCTGCTGCTGCTGCTGCTACTAATTACTGCTGCTCCGCTGAAAAATGCTGGCTGCCCTGCCCTGCAACAACAAGTACTACCACGACTTCTACGTGCTACTTACTACTACATACTACGTACTACTTGCCGCCTACAACCTACCACCTGCGACGGCCTACGTGCTACATGCTACGTACTTAGTATTTAGCAGTTCAGTACCCAGAACCTACGTCTGACTTCTTACCCCTTTTTTCTTACTTCTACTTACCGCTTACTGCTAATTGTCTTCTGCTTGCTATCTACTACTTATTGCTACTTCTTGCTCCCTACGATGACGAGTGCTACGACGACGCTTCGGGGACGGCTACGCTAAGGACCACGACGACGGCCACCACTCTTGAACCACCACTACCACTACTTTCAAAACTCTATCAGCAGCTGGCGAGAAATTATTCCGCATGACCGCCCGATGCCTGTCGATTTGCTTCGTTGTGGTTTGAGTCGGCAGGAGATATTTCCAAAGCGGTGAGCACAAGCCCGTAAGGGACGAAGTGCATGACCTCCTGCGGATGCGCGCAAACCACACTCCTGGCCTCCAAGACGGAGGCCTGTTGCTCTTGGATGGTTTGGTGCCAGGAGGATCCTTCCGTTTTGCAGGGACTTTTGTTTGTGTGGCGTGCGTGATTCTCCGCTTTTGAGGACCCGGGCGCAGTGTCCAGTTCGCTTCTACAGACGCTCAGCAGCATTCTCGCTGTTCTTTCGCTGGTCTTGTGTTGTCTACCAGCGCTGCCCCGGGCGGTGCGTCGAGCGCAGTCTGTTCCTGGCTGAGGGTGTCCGCATTGGTTGGGTGAGTCCTGCGCCCCAAAGACCGGTTGAAGCCAATTGGTCTCGGGAGTTTCACCCTGCGCACCTGCTGGATTTTCATGCTTCCGGGGTGCTGCCGCAACCGTTTGACAGGCTCCTAAGACTTAAGCATGGGAGTTGACAACCGCAAGGCACTGGCAGCTTGCAGAGCTGTTCCATTCGACATTTGACATTGCTGTGCAGGAGACTTCGCATCCAATCGGCCACGGCCGGAGCAGCTGTGTGTGCCCCGCGCCGTGACTGGGAGTACCAGGTGGAACATTGCACAGACTAAGGAATCTGGAGACTGACCCATCCCCTGCTCGTGCAGGCTGTGCCGGAAATATGTGTGCTTGCCTTCCATGCGTTCCTGCCCTCGCAGGCTCTTCCCGGACGGAGTCGGAAGATGAACTGGAAGATGAACTGGAGGAGGTGGATAGCCTTCCCACCAGGCAGCTTTCAAGGAGGCCGCGGCCTCAGAGCCTGGTTGGGATGGTTTCGGGCGTGGTGCCAGTTCCAACGAGACTCGGCGAGGTTTTCCTGGAGTGCTCGCGCCTCAAAATTGTCTCTGCTCTACATGCAACAGTCAGAGCCAGAGCGCCTGTTGAAATGAGGAGTATCCAACCACACCTCTCTTCCTGACGATGTCAGCCGACAAGCCCAAGGCCAGGGCCAGGCCCGCTAGACTCCGTGTGTCTTTGGGGGACGTGCAGGCTCCTGGAACCCAGCCGCGAATCGGAATTGACATCGGCGGTGTTGCTGCCTGAAGTGAGCACTGTGAACGGGCCTTTCCTCTTCCGGCTTCTGGCGCTTCTGGCCCTCAGGTGCTGACCCGGCAAGGCGACAGGACCTACATGGGTCCCCTTGACGAGTCGGGTACTCAGGTAGTATCAAGAAGGCATGATCCTTGACAGTCTCGTTTATTTTCGAGCCTTCCTACAAGGTGGGACACTACTTGGGAAGCCGACGGTGCTTTGGATGCTGCCCTTATGCCGCAACTTTGTACCATGGCAGACGCAGGTGATAGAGTTCTCTCTTTGCACAGGTGGGGAAGATCGCACAGGTTTTCGGACCTTCCAATACCTTTCTTGTGAGCAAGGCGCGACTAAAACAGCATGCTTTGCTTGTCTCAGCATTCGATAGACACTCCCTGATGCTCCGCACATGTAATTTTGGCCCACAGAGGTGAGCCCGGGCAAAAGCATGCATCGGCGAATGGAGCAGTCCTTCGCTGAGTGACTGCCAGCTTGGCTAGCCTGCAAACTGTGGCCGGCCGGCGACTGTTCGAGGTGGCTTCACGAGACCATGGACTTTTGTGAGGTGAGCCCTTCGCTGCCAGGGGCAGCTGCAGTGTTCAACCTGCCTGTGCTGCTTGGTGCTGAGGTCACCGGCGTTCCCAAAGACAACATCGTTTTCGTCTCGGCCGTCTCGGGGAGCCGTCCTCAGAATACAAGAGGCCGGCTGGGTGGTCCTGCAGTTCCAAGTCCTGCAATGATCCAAGGACTCAAGGCAAAGGAGTTGTCTGCGAACGACTTGGAATCTCTCATTTTGTGGACGACAAGATCGAGGCCTCTGTCATGCTGATGGATCCTGGCGGGCTGCACCGCATGCGCAGAACCAGGTGCTCAAGTCGGTATTTGAGGATGAGGCCAACTCCATCTGATTTAAACCTGAGCCGGAAGGCATTTCGCAGGTGGCTCGGCCACATGCTTTGGACAATGTTGACAGCATGGGCTCAAGCAGTGCATGCAGTTAGCCTAGCAAGAATTGTGAATCAGCTGAAACACGAGAGCCTGAAAAGCCTGCCACACCGCCAGCAAACGCTTTTCCGTGATGCGGGTATGGAAGCCGACACCGACGATCCGGGGACCCAGCTTCAGCTGCCAATCCAAAAGGCAGGACAGGAGGCCAGGTGCAAAGAATATGCAGATGCAGCGACTTCAGCTGTGAGGACGTCCATGGTTCATCTCGGTTAGATTGTCCTTCTCAGAGGATCATAACCAGAGCTCGTCCGCTTCAGCCTTGGAGATCTTGCTCGAGGAGGCAGCATGCCAGAAGCTTGTCGAGAAAGGCATCTTGTGGTCGCAGCATGCCGCCCCAACACATGCCATTGTTGGCCGTCCTGTTTGGCCACGGGGGCCGCGGGGCAGGGGGGGAATGCGAAAAGGTTTTTCAGGACAAACACGCTTTCGCAGAGATTGTTCGAGAGAGACAGTGGCATCCAAGCAGCCTGATTCTGAATGTGGGAAGCAAGACAAGGACTCGCGCCGACGAGGCGGCGTTGGTTGGGCTTGTGTTGCAGGATGAGCCCGAAAGCTTCCAGGCCTCTCGACCTTCCGTTAGTTTTTGCGATGCATGACCACGGGCCTCTGCACCTCATCGAGTTTGCAGAAAGGGGGGCCCCGACTGGTGATTTGAATTCAGGTTGTCCTGAGACCCATCACAGGATGCAAGCTGGGATTGGCAGCGCCTTGCCTTCCCATGGAGTGATATACATCGATACATATTCTCATGCTACTATCTCTCAGTTCTCAGACAAGGTCATGGAGTTCGGTCGAAAACTGTTGGTGGCCGCGGTCCACTCGAAAGGAGTGGTCAGCACCTGGAACGCGACTTACCCGGACCTGTCTATTGAGGCCCGGTTTGCTGGCCGACACAGAGAAAGTGGTGCTGGTTGTGTCACAGGAGCGGGACTTATTGGTTCAAGTGAACCACGCGACCGAGTACTTCGGCATGGTGCAGCAGCTGCGGTTTTCGCAGGTGCTGCTTCTGAAGCTGCAGCGCCAGGACGCCGAAGCAATCAGTGAATTTTGCAAGAGCGCCGAACTGGGTTCTAGCTGCAAGGAATCCATCAAGTGCTTGCCTTAATTGGTCGGTTTATGCTCCCTAAGTGTCGTCGAAGCCCGTTTCGAGAGGTCACTACCCATCCCCGTGCGCGCAAAATGGGAGCCGCGGGTGGGTACTGGCGAAAGTTCATCAGATCTGGACGCTCGCCACTTTTCAGTGTGAGCCCGCTCTGTAGGCACTGTTCTGATGTCACCTGATGTCGATGCAGCTTTGCGGAGCGACGTGAGGATTCGAACCTTGCACTTCGCGCTGTTACTGAGTCGTTAGGGCCACACAGTCCGTCCACCTGGAAGAGCGCGGCGAAATGTGTCGTTGAACATTTCGTTCATCAAGAGCATCTCTTTCTTGGATTCTACGGCTACTGGATCCTCACCAATCGGACATGGGCGGATTGTCCCGTCGCCGGACAGACTCCGATTCTCAGCCTCACCGTCAAGCAGCACATCGAGCAAGCGGGTCATACTTGGTACATAGTCTCTTGTGAGCTGGTGCTTTTCAACGCCGGCGAGAGGGATCTCTGGTCGCATTCATGCGGTGCTTTGTATGTCGGCACCCTTGCTAGCTATTCTCGGTTATGTCTCATACATCTAATTTCTATCATTTTCTATGCCTTTGTCACCAGCGCGTGGTTCAAGGTAGTGCGTGGTCGCATTTCGTTTTCGATCATTGTAATCATTTTCCACCCTTTTCCACAAGGACGTTCTGAAGTGGGAGGCTCCGAGACGACTGGCGCAGTTGCGAACAGACTTGCACGATCGGGTGAAGTTCGGCATGGAGCCGAAGGAATACAAGGCGCTCTTTGAAGAGGCTCCTTTTGCACATGCCGGCGGCCACCTGCCAGGAAGTAGCATCGGGTAGATCTTTTCGTCTTGGCGCTTCAGCTTGAGCTAATTAGATTGCCTTTGCTCCTGGGATTTTCAGAGGTCCGAGCGGCACAACGTTGCGTTTGTCGAATTGGATGTCCGCATTGGCGGCATGTATCAACAAGCTCAGCGTAACTCCGGCCGTCGCCTCCTTGACCTTGACTTTCTTGCATGCTCCGCCGCTTGGCTACCTTGGCCAGACTGGCGAAAAACGCGTTCATGTCTTGTCTCACTGAGGCTGCCGCCGCATCTTGTGCGTGATGCTCACCAGTGAAAAGGGAGGGTAGCGGAAGCGAGACTGTTGGCATGGGCTGACGATGAGGGTTTCGCAATGCCTGCATGTCACTGTCAGGCTGGCAACAGCCGCCACCTGGTCGAGCGGTTCCAGGCGTTCAACTAGGAGTTTAACTGGGCGGAATCGGGGTCATGGGCTTGCAGTCATCGCGGAACCTGTTCACGCAGCGAGATACTAGCCGAAGGGAGGTTTCAATGATTGGGAATTTTGACCTAGAGATTTAATTTGTGAAGCCTGTGAGTGTGACACCTTCAACGAAACCGTTCCCAAGCGGCAAGCCATTTTTGGATGAACCCATTTCCTTGCAGCCTTCACTAAACTAGGTGCTGGTGCTGGGTTCCCGTTCCGGCTGTCTATAGGGGGCTGTGACTAGGAGGCATCTCATGTCTTTACTCGCCTCCCCATGCGTTCGCTTCCCGGTGAAAGGCCGTGGCTGGAAGTCTCGACTGCTATACGAGGTGACTACTTTTTGCCGCGAGACCATCTTTCGGTGTTTCTGGGAGTGTGCGACATCGTGCCGTGCTGCTGGTGCCCTGCTGTCATCGAATCTGCGAAGCGCTGGCTGCGAGAATGCCTCGGAACAGGAATCGTTGTAGCACCTGCTCGAAGGGCCACTGCCTCGTTCCGCCCGGACAGCGGAGCCTCGTGAAAAGTCGGAGACGGCGTAGAAAGGACCAGCGAGGCACAGCCCCGGAGCAGCTCGGAGGACTCCCGTCGGCTGGAGCGTAGACATGCCTCGCTGAACGAAACCTAGCAGCCTGCTAGAATCTGCTACATGCCATGGGACAACAAGCATTGCCAGGGACTGCTCTTCCACTTTGCGAAGGGCGGCCACACAAACGCACTGCTCTAAGTGCAAATGCCTCCGTGTGGTTTCTTTGGTCATTGGTGCGATGCTCGGCTCAAGATCGGCACATAGGAACTCAAGAAATCAGAGACTAAATGCCACCATGTGCCCTACATGGATGCTCCGGCACGAGCTGATGGTCGACTTCTGCATGAGGACAGCACTGGCTAAGCGCTTCCAGAGCGAACCACAAGTGCTTAGCCAATCTCTCGCAGAGGAGTTGGGGCAGACGGCATGGCAACCTTTCGAGCCCATGTCTGAGCAGCTTCCTGTGTGGCCGGAGATGGAGGCAAAGTCGTAATCTTAGGTCTGAGTCTGAGGGCGTCTGCCAAGATGTTCGACCTGGTCGATTCTGGGTACGCCTTCCGATTCAGCTGTGAGAAGTTGGGCGGCTCATGTTGCCAGATGCATATGTTCATATGTTTCATTGGCTGCAGAGCTCGCTTGCGGAAAGGCCTGGGCCACCACATGTGCTCGCTGGATTTTGTCGGGTGCCTGCAGCTTAGGAAGCCGGCTTTTCGTGAGATGCGTAACTCCTAGCAACATCAGGGCACTTAAAAATGTGGGGTGTGTAAGGCTTTGCTGGCTGTTGCCGTGGCTCTCTGCACCCAGTCAGCCACGTTGCGGGACCGGGGCCGAGCAGCTTTTAGCTGGCCTGTGATGCAAAGCACTCCGTATGGCATGTCGCGCCGCCTTCCACAGCCAAGATTGTTATCCTTGCCATTGGCCTCATTCTCTGCCTGGTAGGACTGCGGGCATACTAGAGGTACTCGAGGTCATCGCATGATGGACCTATAGGGCTGGGGTTTGCAGGATTCTTCTGGCGTGCCTCTGCATCACTCGTTTCTTGGCGAGCTCCCCGGCACAAGTGTTCCGTTTGTCGTCTCTGCCCCACGAAGCCGTCAGGACCCGTCGAACACAAGGGATGAGAGCAGACGAGCCTGCGTCAGAGGCAGACACCTCTTTACCCTTGGACTTCGTCGGATCTGGTAATATTTCGAGGCTTTGGACCCTGGGGCTGGTACCAGCCTTCAGCGCTCAGATGTGCTGACGGATGCTCGGTAGCGAAGAATCGTCGTATTAGGCCATGTTTGGCGGATGTGTTATTCCCGTGTCTTGTTCAATCCAATTGTACCCATGAGCCATTTCTCAATTCTTCTTCGGCTTCCCCACATAGCTTAAGTGTTCCAAGTCGTTGCATCGTTTGCGCTCCTTTGAGAAAACTGATCTTTCAGCATGTAACGTTTGCAAGTGCGCGCCTGCTGCCCGTAGGCTCATCCCCTCGGGTGTGAGCTGAGGAGCGAATTCAGCAGCTCAACACAAGGAGCTGAAGAATCTGAAGAGCTTCCGAGCGTTTTTCCATAGTTCGGGTGCAGTTGAAGGACGAGGATTTGCACCAGAGAAGAGTGGGAGGAGGCCGTTGCTCCAGCTCACCTTGCAACCTTACAGTCTTGCAGACCTTGCCGTACCGCAAGTGCTGTTCAGGCGTACCTGCCGGAGCTCTCGATGCAAGAGCCGGGAGTTGTGTCACACGCTTAATTGGTTGCCGCATGCGATACAGCTCGAGCCACATCCAAGGACATCCTCGGGGCAAACTGGTCAAGTCGAGTGTCCCTGGAGTGCAGCATTTGTCCGGAGCTTGTGCGAGTGTTGAAGCACGCGAGTCTTGCTGTGGAGTGGAGTAGTGAGGCTTGGGCCAAATCGCACCGACTGCGCGGGTACGGGGGCTTGGTTGTGGACATATGTCCGGGCCCACATGACACTGCAGAGACGGATGCTGATAATGTTTGCCTTCGCATACATTAACCCTGGCCGTTCGCTCAGGTTCCACCTCAAATGCTTGGCCGACTGGTTTCTGCGGGACGTGAACGTTTTCACAGGACTCCCAACGAAGCAATCGTTCATTGGGCCTGCTCCGCAGGACTCCACTCTGGAGTTGCGTTGCCCTCTTTGCCGCATGAGGCTGGCTGAGCAGCCATGCTGAAGCCTAAGTGCTTCGGTTGCCATGTCCGACATCCCGCACATGCCACGCCCAGGCATTCGACTAGAGGGATTGCGTGGTTCTGACCACTCACTCCTTGGATCTTGATGATCTTGACCGTGGACGATCTCTCTGGAGGTGATGTGCGCATGAGATCAGCCCTGCCAGTTTGTGCATGGTATGTTGTCCGAAACTTGTCAGACTCCGATGTTCGCTGCATGTGGCCCAGCTTCCTAAAGCAATTAGCCATAGAATGTAAGCAGCAGTTCGCTTGCAAAACAAAAGCGAATTCCGCATCCAGAGTTTGACCAGCACATTGATCCCACAGCAGCTCTGACTTGCTCATTTTCAGCTCGCCTCTCCATTTGGCTCGTTCGTTGCACAAATGTGTGTCTTGGCGGACGATTCCTTGGAATGGCTGTTGCTTCGGAGCTGTCCGAGCCAGTCAGTCCCATCGCTGTGGCCAGCAGCAGTGTTACTGTGCCCTTCCTGCAAAGGCCATGTCCTCACGATAGGAGGCTCACTTGTAACTTCTCTCGGGTCTCACTTCTCGAGAGGGGTCTCGCTTGTGACTTCTATTGGGTCTCACCTCTGACTTCTCTAACAGTCGAACCTGCAACAAGTCTGAGCAAATACGCCTGAGATCACTTGTGACTTCTCCGGGTTTGGGAGCAGGTTTAGGGTTAATGTTATGGCAAAACAACAAGTGCAGGCTATGAGGGAGCGAGGTCAGGGTGGTTTTGGCTCTAGGCTGGGGGTATGTAGGAGAGATAGAGTTTAGGGTTTAGGGTTTGGCGTCTTAGGGTTTAGCCTGTAGGGTTCTGGTCTGCTTAGGGTATATAGGAGTTTTTGCCGTAACGGGAACAGGATGTCCGCGACGGGAACCCGTAACAGGAACGGGGACCGATCCCACAACAGCAGCCACCACTTCCTGTAACACCCCACAGGCCGCCCCTCGTAGCAGGAACCAGCGCGGGGCTCCAAGAATGACTTGTTTCACATCCACCTACTCTCGTGGGCTCGCCAACTCAGCCAGTCCTCCACTTGTACCGCTTCAAAATGTCATGTCATGTAGCATTAGAAACTGACCCCATATGTCCACAGCAACCTTTGTCCTGAATTTGCGATGGCTACAGCATCGGTTGTGCCATCAATGCTCCAGAACAACAGTGCATGTGTCTGCTGCGAGCTAAATTTGCAAATGTTGTGACTTGTGGTCACGATCGTATGACGAAGGCTCCGGTGTGTAGTACGTCTTTTTTCGTCCTACTTCTGGTGCTAAGAGCTGACCGAAACCCCAAACCCCCAAAGCCGTTCTCGAGAGTGTAAAGCCGTTCTCGACTGGCACATGCCTGAGCCCCTGAACCTGGCCCGTCAACCCTTAACCCCTAAAGTCTTGTGCCAGGAAACTGAAACGAATTTGCTACAATGGTGAGAATTCATTGGTGGATACTGCCGGCATGAGCCAAGGATGAGAACGCTAAGAACAAGTGCCTTAACGGGGCCATGAGAGTAGGATGTCGCAGGAGGTCGGTAGTGTATAGAGCTCAGCTGAGACTTGTGCGTTGGTGCTGCTGCGAGTGTTGGTTGGTCTGCCTTAAAGGCTCGACTACTGACAGGAGTTAATGTTGCTTCCACCAATGTGCGTTCGTCGTACCAGAAACCTCGCCCATGCATGTCCGAGTGTGAGTGCTGAAACCACCTTTAAGCCCGAGCGTTTTTGTGCAATGAGTTTTCCCGTAACCATCCCATGTCCTGCCCAAACCCGCCTTTTGTTCCTTAAGAAGCCTGCGTTCTTGTGTGTGTGTGTGTGCGTGTGTGTGTTTCTGTGTACCCGCTACTTTGCGTCCGTAAGCCCCCCCTCCTTCAACCTCCCGATCTTCCACCCCTGACAAACCTACCGCATTATGCCTTGGTGCAGGTCATGGATGGGACTACACGGCAATGCGACGTGGTCGCTCGCTCGTGGACATTCTGTACATGTCAGAAGCGGAAACTACGCGGCGCGGCAATCGTTCCTCGATGCCGAGATCCTGATACGTACCGAGAGTGGTGGCTATCGCATCAGCATATCGGAGCTCGAGCTGCTCTTCGGTGCGCATGCTGTGGTCATGGAAGGACCTCTTCCTGGCGAGTACTGCCCGAAAGTCTACCGTGGAGCCACATGCAAGAGCAAACGTGTGTGCACATGCGGCACCTTTGTCCAGCGGGCCGAATGCCCGCACGTGTATTTCGTTGCAGGCTTGCAGGGTGAGATGGACCTCGGTCACTTTCCTGAGAAGCGGAAGCAAGGGCGCCCGAGGAGAATCTTCCAAGAAGAAAGCGTGTGTGCGTCCTCGCACAAATAGCTAGAAGTGCCATTGTGGCATCCGGACATGCAGTGTGACGAGAGAAAAGTTCGTGTTTTTGCCTGCATGACCCGTGTGATGTTTCAAGCTCCGGGCCCCCGAACCTCCGCTCGTTGCAGACATACACATGACTCAAGTAGATTAGCATGCCAGCGTGGGTTCGCCAATAGTGAAAGACCAGATTAGCAGGATAAAAGCGAAAGAATTACACGGAAGCCTCCCCCGCCTTCGCCGGCACGATGCAGCATTCGGCAGGCACCCCGACCAGGATCCCTCTTTGCTGGGTTTGAAGCCTTTCCAGGCTGCATTAGCTAGGAAGCTTCCTCGCCTTGTCTGGTTGGATTCAACGATTTGACACCACCCGTCAACATACCAGAGGTCCCGTCAACATGCCAAGAAGCTAATGGCAGCAAATGAGACGTTGACATGCTTTCGGGCTAGAAACTTGAACTTCGCTTCTAGGATCTATCGTTCGCTCGCACAGACAGGTCGGCTGCTGGGATGGGTTGTGTGAAGCAGTCATGTCCACAGCAGTGAGAGCGAGTTCCCGAGATAGCTTGACTTGGAATGGCTAGGAACATGAATGTATCCGTGGCCAGTCTGGATAAAGTCCTCTCACCCTGCCCACCCTGGGGAGAGCTAGCCGGAGCGAAAATCTCCAGGCTAACTGGGATTGGTGCCACATCCATGAAAAGAGAGAGAGAGAGAGAGAGAGAGAGAGAGCTGGGCGAGTTTACTGAAAGTCTGTCTCGGGCGTCGTTACTCGGCTAGCTTGCTACTCTAGCCGAACTTCCTAGGTGGAAGGCCTGGGGATGGTGGATCGGAGAGGGTGCTAGTGCACGTTCTAGCACATTCATTACAGAGCTTCATGTGTTGCATGATGAACTTACGACTCGCTGCTTGCAATAAATATGCATGCATCCGGCAAGGCGGCACTGCATGAAAACATGGATGTCAATGTGGATGCCTGGCTCGCGGGGACTGACAATCCTTGTGAAACCTGGACCCATGCGCTGGAGGAAGATGCTCGACGCGTGATGCACGATGAATCTCAAGGATGGATTGCATGATCAACACCCAGAATGCTGGAAGCGGATGGGTGCCGTTTTGTAAACAGCTGCTGGTAACAGATGTGGCAACGAATGTGACGAGTTGTGGCAGTGGTTCTTGCAGTTTCGGATGCCTTACAGGTTGCGAAGCTTGGGAAGATTGCTAACAATGAGTCCATGGCTAATTTTCTATTGTTTGCCAAAGTGTGTCGTCGTCGTTCCAGGAACCTCGTCCAGTCATGTCCGAGTGTGAGTGTTGAACTAAACCCTGAACCCCTAAACCTCCTAAATAAATCTACAGCCGCGGAGTCCTAAAACCGCAAAAACACAATCGACCCGGAAAACAAGTGGCGCTGGTCAGTCCACGATGGCGTGCAACAGCCTAGCCCCGCCACCAATAGTAGTCGTACTCGTAGTGCGACAACTTCGACTTGCGCTGGTACGAACCTTCTTGTAAGATAAAACCATATTCCTTCAACAAAATCAATATACGGAAACAACTTGTGGCAAGGAGTGTATTGCCACCGGCATCCTATATCCCAAGCAGCGAATCTGTTTCACCCCCAAGACTCCATATGCCTCGAACGAAACATAGGCGTCAGCATAAAGCGTTCATGGTGTCAAAGCAGGGACCGAAAACCGGTCCCCCATACACAAGAGTTCCAGCATAGTTTCGGTTGCTTGGCTTTCTTGGGACAGTTCCTCTAACGCTCCCGGTGCCGTTCCTGTTTCTACGCCCTCGTTCCCTATTACGACCCCCAGAAATGGATTCCGGTACTCCCCAAACGGGTTCTGTTACTCCCAGGGTTCAAGGTTTAGAGTTTCACGGAGTTTTAGGAGGGTTTGGGTTCAAGGCCGGTTGGCGTTTAGGGTCTCGGGTGTCGAGTTTAGAGTTTAGGGCCTAGGCTTTCAGCTCTACGGCTTTGGCCGGGCCGGGCGAGCACTAATCAAACTTTGAAAAAAGGGCTTGGAGTCTACAGGCGGTTTGGGGGTTTACGTGTTTGGGTTTTGTGGTTTTACGCGGGTTTAGGAGTAAGAGATAAGGGTTAAAATTCAGGGTGAGGATATGGGGGTTTAGGGATTTGGGTTTAGGGGGGTTCTGGGGTTTAGTTTAGGGGTTTAGGGTTCAGTCTTTTTTCACTGCAATCATTTAAAAGTATGTAGAGGGGACCGCGTTTAGGGTTTAGGGTTCGCATTTAAGCTATTTGGAGTTTACTGTTGTTGGTTTCGGGTTCAGTTTAAAGTATACGATATAGGGACTTATAGAGGGGGGTCGTGGCGTAGCGGGTTATGGTTCACTGGGTACTGGGTAGAATGGGTCCTGGGTAATGCTGGACTGCTGCCCCAACCAGCCGTAAGGCCGCACGTCTCTGTCCTTGTGGTTTGGCTGGGTTTGGAACTTCAGGCTGTCATGCCAGGTGTCTTAAACCTTCGACAGTGCTGCACTTCGCAACGAGTCGCAAGCGAAGCCTCTACCTCCCGCTGCTACGAGTATGAATGGACCAGCTGCATTCCTTAACTTGCGGCCTTATGTCTTGGCAGACAGCAAGGTCAGCACATCGAGCTGGCAACTCTAGTTCTACATGCATGTGCTGAGGTGAAGTCTGTGCCAGGGAGACCATTGCGACAGAGCTTGCCGAGCAGGCAAGAACAGCTCCGGCTCGTTGCGTCTCCAGTCTCCTGGCTTGTGATTAGGCTTACTGAAACTGATGCCCATGAATCGGTCTCGTTGTCGCGTGCATCAAAGGTCAAAGCCTCTGCCCTCATAGCAGAAGCGACGACGGCGCCTCGCACGCAACTCGAGCTTGTGGAGACTGGCTTCACGTGACAAGCCGACCAGGTCCTGCAGTCTCGATCGAGTGGTCACAATTCTGCACCTACTCCGCGGCCTAGGGATCCAACCGGGCCAGGCTGGACTGATCAGGTTCAGCAGGATAGTGGCGTGTCTCCAAGAAAGTGACATGGCCAGCCAGCTAGCAAGCCCTCTCAAGAGAGGCGTGTGAAGCCGGATGTCTTACAGCTTGTGGTTGAGTGCTGGAGACTGTGGCTGGAGTTTGTCGTCTGGTGTGGCGAGGGTGGGGTCCAGAGGTAGTCTGGTCATCGCCCAAGTTTAGCGGGGTGTCCGAGTATGGCTTAGATTCTTGCATCGTTCAGTGGCTATCAAGTGTGAGGCATTGCAGAGCGCTGGTCCTCCAGGAGCAGGTCCCAGGCCGGTTCAGACTGTGCTCCGGACACGCTGCTATTTTTCCATTCTGTGGTCCATCGCTCTCAGGGGCCAAGGCAGCCTGGAACTCGGCAGCCGAGAGCTCAGCTGGGTTCTCATCTTCGGTCCTTCTGGATTGGAAGGCGTTTGTGCCGAAAGGCGGTTTCAATGTTTTGTTGGTGGCATTCTTCTCTGCAGCACGAGGTTGGCCCGCATCGAGGGGGTTGTGACCGAGATCCAGCGTGAGCTGAACGAGGTCAAGGTTCTGTCGGATAGCCACCCGCCAAAATCCAGCGACACGACTCGCAGCGGACGTGGAGTTCCTGCCCTCGCAGCCATGCAGCATGCTCGAATCACCGAGGTTTTGAGGAGCCCGGGACGCAGTCCACTCTGCTGGCTCCCACTCTGGCACATGTGGGCGTCGGTGAGCTCATGCATGTGGCAGGGGGCATAAGCCCTGTGGGGAGTCGCACGAAAGTACTTGGATCACACGTGAGTGGGCATGGAGCTACGCTTCTTCACCCGCTTCAACCAGCGGGGAGCGTAAGTCCAGCCTACCTTTACCCGGCAGGGACACCACGTCAGACACACAGTTGGCACAGGGAACTCGAAGAGCGCAAGTGGCGGGCAAACGCAGAGCACATCCTGATGATTGAGCGTCCTGACTGCATACCGGGATACTGCCATGTCATGTAGGCTTCTGATGTAGCTGAAGGTGGCCTACCGTGATTTTGAGGTCAAGCTGGGCGCAGCGTGCCAAGGAAGCAGAAGAAGCTGCATCCCGCTCAGATGAGCGAGCACGAGTGGCGGAGGCAAGAACAGACTCGTTGAAGTTGATTCCGCTTGCAGCTGCATTGGAAATTTTGTGTTGAAAGAAGCTCTCCGAAACCATCCTAAATTTGTAACTGTTGAGACATGCTGCATCAGCCAGGAAGCCCACGGCCGCTTGCTGCGCGAGAAAGCCGAGATGGCTGATGTAGGTTGACCTAACTGGTACATCTTGTCATATCTTGTCCATGGGATCAAGGTAAAAAGAAAACTTGCAGAGAGTGACACGTGGGCCAGCATGTGGCGCAAATGACGAAGCCAAGGCAGCCCAAGCGCGTGCAAGGCAGTTGGCTGATGAGCAAGAGAAGTACACTTCCCTCGAAGCTCGTGAGACAAGTGCCTGGGCGGAGAACCTGCAGTCTGGCAAACTTGGTGCGGGGCCCAGCCGAGGCTTGCAGGCAACTCTGTCAGCCCTGGAAGAGCGCGCAGCGAGCGCGGACAAACTCGCAGCCGAACATCGAGCCGAGCAGGCGGAAGCTTGCAAATGGCCCCGGGTTGAAAACGAAAGTTCGTTGAAACTGAACATGGGCTGTGGCGCGGCTGTGGGTTCCTTCTCTGTCCTGGGTACATACTCGTTTGCTGCAGGGGCCTTGGTGGAACCAAGTCGTGCTCTCTCAGCTCTCTCCAAAGCTGGGTGTTAACTGTTAGCCCGAACCAGCTGCTGCAGTCGCAAACCGTCCTGTTATTGGATTGCATAAGTGTGCTTCTGCACATTATCATTCTTGATGTTGCTTCATTGCAGCTACTAGCGGCCAGTGTAGGCTCTTGATCTTCTAGTCAATCTTTTCATTCCAGCCGGGTAGACATCGACATGAAATCCTTGGTGTTCAAGGGCAGTCAGACTTGGAAGAGGCTGCAGTGGCCGACGAACTCGACATGGTTAGTGGGCGCTTCGAAGAGCAGCTGCAGCACAGCATGGAGCTCAAGAAGGAGCTCTCAAGGAGCCGTGCTGAAACTCTTTGTGTGAGGACGATCTGAGCGCACGATGTCGTCAATTAGGTTCGCTGAGATTCCGTGTAGCCCCTTATTTTTATCTACAGGATGCGTGATGAGCTCGATGCCCGCAAGACGGACGAGCAGCTGCGTGTTCCCAATCTGGGAGCCCTTGTGTGTTTGTGTGTGTGTGTCGGGGCGTGTTGAGCAGAGATGTTGAAATCTGGGTATGCATGCAAATAACCACATCAAGGACGAAGCATCGAGACATCGAGCGCGAGTGGAAGCAGCGCGTTGAGGAGCTGAAGACCGGCTTGACAACCGCGCGCGACACAATCCAAGCCCAAAAGATCCAGATGGCCAAATTGATGCTTGGATTCGGAGAGTCTTATTGTGCTTCAGTGGCTGACCTTTCACATCCCCTGCTGCTCAGGAAGGCGTCGGAGAAATCCGACACCAATTCCGATCTGCACGAAGCAATAGCTCACTGGAAGACCCAGCTAAGCCAAGCCAACACCAAGCTCGAGGAGAGGTTCTGCAAATTAACACGGACGCCAGAGTTTCGCTGCACATCTTCTGATTGTTAAACCACAGAAGCCTGGGCCGTGCCCAAGGTGTCCCGTGGGCACACGTGTAATGTTTGCTCAGGTCAGGGCTTAAATGGTACATGCTGTGCGTTTGACAGAAACTACATAAGTCAAGTGACATCTGCCTCTTCTGTTCTGGGTGGCCAGAGTTTTGCCGGAAGTCTTGTCCCTGAAGGATCAGCACCGGCTGACCGCGCACCTGCAGCAGAAGCTGGCATCCTTGGAGGACGAGTTGGCGGCCGCGCATGCGGCGCACCAAAGCATCATGATTGACCAAAGCAGCCAGTCTGAAGAAGCTGTGGAGACCTACGCAGACATGGTGGAGGTCCGAGAGCAGCTCCGGGGCGAGCTGAGGGAAAGAGAGGTAGCGATATTGGCAGCCACACGGCAGATGGAGATGTGCGAGTCTTTGAACAACGAGCTGGACCAGGCTGTAGCCGATTTGCAGACAGATCTGACTGCTTGCAAGCAGAAAGAAGAAGCGCATCAAGCAACAGTTGAGTCCAGAGACGCCGCAGTGGAGGAATGGAAAGCACAAGCGCAGCAGTGGCAAGTGCGAGCTTCGCAGCTTGAAGAAGAGTTGGATGCTCAGGTGAAGGCCCTGCAAGACAGTGTATGTCAGGTGACAGACTCCACGACTCAGATCGCCAAGCTGGAATCGCAGCTTTCGAGCTTCAAGCAGACAGACGAGAGCAGCCAGGTCGTGATTACTAGCCTACAGCAGGAAGTCTCAGAATTGCAAGCCATTAAGAAACGAGAGGCGGCCTTGCAGCAGGAACTGGCAGTGGCCAAGAGGGACGGCGAGCGATTGCAAGAGGAGCAGCTAGCCCTTCAACAGGCGGTCGAGCACCAGACCGGCCTCGAAGCGGACGCACATGCCGAAGCTGCAGGCTTCAAAGATGCTCTGGAAGCGGCTGCGGAGAAGAACATGCTATTCGAAAGTACGACTCAGTTGATGCAGCAGGAGCTCGACACTCTTGAGAACGAGACCGCCTCGGCAAAAGGCAAAGCAGGGGAGGACCAGCAGTACATTGCCAAACTTCAGCAGCAGTTAGAAGTCCTGGAGGATGAGATCGTAAGTAGCAAGAAGCTACAGGAGGCTCAGTTGGGTAGCCATGCCGATCTGCATCGTGCTCTCCTTCAGACAGAAGACCAGCTGGCCAGATCTTTGCTTAACGACGAGATGCAGCAGGAGTTGACAGCCAAGCTGCGCAGTTCCCTGAATTCCTCAGAGGTCAACCTTTCCGAGTACCGATCCAACTTGGAGGCCCAGGAAGCCATGGAGTCCCAGCTGAGGAAGCATGTGGAAAATTTCCGATCCGAGTCCAAGGAGCAGAAAAAGATAGCAACGGACTTAAGGCTGCAACTGGCAGAGTCAGAGGATGAGCGGAACGCCTCAGACACGGCTTATCAGACCCTGCAGAGCATAGAGACGGAACTGCGCGGCAAGCTTTCGGAAGAGGGGGAGCAGCTGTCTGAATTGCACGCAGCCTTCCAAGTGCAGCAGCACCCCGGCTCGAAAGTCATAGCAGCATGCTCTGCTGCCTTGTTTCGCTTCGAGGTCCGTGAACGCTCAGCTGGAGCAAAGCTTGGCCACCAGCGTTTCCGAGTTGTCCCAGGCAAGAGCAGACGCATCCATGCAGGATGGTCTTGCGAGGCAGCTAGAAGGTAAGCTCGCGCCGCGGCTGCATGTTTTACTTGCGAGTTCGTAAAGATACCTCAGCGAGGGTGTGTTCTTGTCCCAGTTCTCACATGCCCAGGCGTGAGTACAGGGCCGAAAAGACAGTGCTGCATCCTTATTTTCCCTGACCGAGGAGGCATCCGAGGCTTGTAAAGTCCACACGGAAGACAAGCTGCAACGGCATGCAGACCGTGTGTCTGAGCTACAAGAGCAAGTTACCCTGCTGGAGGGCTCGCTGGCAACCGCGTTGTCTGCTTCCGAGCTTCAAGCTGCAGCAACCACAGAGCTACAGCAAAGCTGCGAGACTTTGACCGCATGGGCATGCCAGGCACTAGCCATCCAAAATTTTTTGTCGATTTGCCGCTTGCCTCAGGACCATCTGCAGGAACAGATGCAGGGGCTTCAGTCCGAGCTTCGCGCGAAAACAGAAGTTGCGGAACAGCAGCTTAACAGCGAGATTGAGCTGAAGGACGCCCACGGGCCGTTCACGTTCAGCATTTTCACCCCGTCTTTCGAGAGTCTGATGCCGAAACTTTCGAAGCAGGACCTAGCTGAGCGACAGCAGGCCGAAATCCTGGAGCTGCGACTGCGTGGCAGCTTGGCCCGTATTGAAAAGGTGTCCCTGGCAATGGCTGAAATTGCAATCTGTTTCGCCGGAGCTTGCGAGACAAGTGTTGAAAGTAATCGGCATCCTGGAAAGGCGAAGCGAAAGAGAGCTTGGAGGCCGCATTGAAAGAGAAGAAGATGCAAGAAGTGGAGATGAAGCACAGTGCTGCTATAGCCGAAGCAGAGATCGCGGGTGCTCGGAACAGCGCCAAGGCGCGGCCCTGAGAGGGCCGTGGCATGCCAGGGCCACAAGGGTGCGATTCTTTTTTGATGACACGGTCATATTTGCACATAAAAACAAAACACTCTGCGTTCAAAGTCTCCGTGCAAAGGCGCAGCAGAAGCTCGTGGGCGAGCTCAGGAACTGCCTTCGGGACACGGAGGCAGAATCGGCGAAGGCTCTGGCGAAGTTTAAGGACACGATGCTTTTTTGCAGCTTTGGCATGTGTCGGTTGGTGTGTGTTCGACCCTACGAAGGAGCAACAGGATCGGCAGGAGCAGCGCCAGAAAGAAGCCGAAGATCGCTTGGCAGCGGCCCAGACGGAGCTTGTCTCTGCCGGTCAGCGTGTGGAAGACCTGGAGCAGCTGGCGCTGGAACAGAAAACCCGCCCCCTGGGCCCAGTTAGGCATTCGAGGGCCGGAGGCTCCAGCTTGAAAATTGCGCTGCAGCCGAGGCTTCTCCAGCTTGGAAGGTGATTTGGCAAAAGCCCGCTGCCAGGAGAAGGTGCTCCAAGAAGCTGCGGAGGATCTGAGGTCAGATATATCCAAGAGAGAAGGAGCATTATTGCAGTCCCTGGCAAGCTCCGAAGTGCATCAAGCCAGCGAGGCTGCACTTCGAAAAGCCCTGCATACCCAAGAAAAAATCCTGGCAGATGAGAGGGTGGAGCATGATGCGACCCTGAGACAGCTGGCCGAGCGGGCAGCTCAAGTTGAAGAGCTGCAGCAGAACCTTGCAGAGCTGCAGGCAGGTCAGCAGAAATTGGAGCTGCGCCTGCGGCAGACACAGACCAGTACAGATGCCAAGCTTCGGGATGCGGCTTCGATTGAAGCATCGCTTCGAGAGAAACTCCAGGACGCTTTCCGGAATATTTGAAGGGAAGGCCCCACTCATGCTCCGCTTAATAATTTGATATCTTCCTTCCAAGCGCGAAGGCCCTGTGACAGGTAGGAAGTATCGGTTTGTGAATTGGTTACATTGCCCAGTTCTGCTATTGGCACGTCAGCCAAGGACGTTTGGAGCAAGCTCGCTACGAAGGCAGACTCGGGATTGAACCCAGAGGTGCTCTCAGATCCTCACCTGTACAGCGTCTTCGAGCAGAAGGACGGGCTCCATGTACATCTCATTCTGCGTGCAGCGCCGATGTCCGGCTGTCAGGCGTCGAAGATACACAGAAAGGTTGCGGCAGCCATGCGGCGCGCCGGAGATGCACACCACGCAGCCCTCGAGCTCGAAATTTCGAAGGCATCCCAGTGCGGCGCTTAATCCATCCTCTCAATGGCCCACGTCGCATCGCAACTTGCCTTCCTCCGAATCGGCCTGGCCGAGGCTGCAGCTTTCTGGTGACGGTGAGGCCGGGCAGTCGCGGCGCACTTTATGAACTTTACGCGGCGCTCGCTTTAGCTTTACGCGGCGTCACCCCCGAGGCACGCTCTTTGTTCCTTCGCTCCGCTGCGAGCGGACGAGATCAGCGAGATCGTGCCTCTCCAGCACGCAGCCCGCAGCCTCGCGGTCCTTTCTTGGGTTTGGAAGGGGCGTTTTGCTTTCCACGTTTGAATCAGTGTCGCTATGTCCAACGTATGCGCCAGAGATCGCTATGGGCCATGGGCTGGAAGATGTTGAGATTTTCGGTGCTGATGCACTGGTGGTCGTGGAAGCATTGGGAGCAATTTCTTGCTTTGCCGCAGGCCTTGCACAAGAATTGCAAGAGATGCTCGCCCAAGTGCAGAGCACGCTGCTCTTGAAGTGTGCCGAAGGAACGGATGCAGGCACTTGGAGCAAAGGTCAGCAGCTTCTCATTGCACTCGCTTGTTTCAACCGACCGGAGCCCGGCTAGGCTCTGATGAGGAGGAGCTGCTTGGCCAAGTCGAAGTCTCGACGTATCCGTTCGGCTCTCTTTGCTCTGACCCCTCTGACTTTCGGGCAAGCCCAAAGCCAAAAGCGAGGCTGGCAGCTGAGCGCCTGGAGCTGGATGCACAGCTGATCTCGCAAGAGCTGCCGCTGCTCACCTCAAGCCCGCTACAGGGCATCCCGCAGCCGGTCCTCAAGGCCAGGAGAGTTCTCAAGTGTTTTAGTTTAGTTCTTTCAGTCTCGAATCAACCCCGTGTTCGCGAGTTGGGTTCTCGGGCTGTGCCAGTGGCCTGACACCGATTCGGGACGAGACGCGACACACTAAGTGTGCTGCCTGATAACACCCTTTCACTTTCTGCAGCCATGCAGGCCATGGCGGGGCTTTGTGGCGTGGAGGAGCCAGGGGACAAGGATCTGGACCTTGATGGACGCTTTCCCGTGCACTGGGCAGCACGCCAGGGCAGGCACGCCTTGTCTCAAAGCCATGCCTGAATCTTGTAAAGATACGGAGTTGTGATAGCTTTACAGATGCCACAGTGAAGGCGAGATGTCATCGAGTTCCTTCTTCGCTACATCTCTGTGGGCGACGGGTTGAACCAACGCGACCCCGACGGACGGACACCGCTCTTCTATGCCGAGCGCGCTGGAAATGCTGCTTGATGGCAATCTCGCAGCCGAGCACCAGCAGCTGCAGCACTTCACTTCGGTCGTAATGATATGGTTGTAATGATTCTTGATTCGGATGGTCATCACGGACATGATACCCTGAGGATTCGCTGGCATTGTTTCTGCGAGAGAACGGCAGCGATGCCAATCCACAGGAGAAGCTGGATGCTGCAATTCCACTCTGCTCCATCACCTGCATGGTCTTGCAATTCCAGGAACCGGTTCGCAGAAGACCTGCCACAAGCACCATTCCAGATGCCTTCACCGCTACGCAGTCGCAACTGGCAAAGCTTCGGTTCATGTTGAGTGTAGCCGTACTGCATTGTGTTGGCTGAGGATGTGATCAAAGTTGTCGAAGAAAGAGGCACTCAAGAGCGCCTTGCGCGTCCCTCTCAGTGAGTGCTTTCAAGCCGAAGGTTGGCATGCGGTGAACTGGATGGAGGGCTTCACCATGCTTCATTGGGCCGCAGAGAAGGGCCATTCTGATTTCTGCAGGCACAGTCTGTATGACCGCTTTGGGCATCTTTGGGCTGTCAACTAGGCTCCTGGCTGTGAAGTCGCCGTGCTCAGGTACTTTGTGGATCTGAATGCTGATCTGAATGCTGTCGACAGCCGAGGGCTGCCTGGTGGCACAGCCCATGGCAGTGCGAGTAGACATGGCATGTCGGACATGGCGGCGAGCTGCAGGCGCACAGCTCTTCAGTGTGCTGTGGACTCCAAGAACGCAGAAGCTGAGTTGGTGCTGCGAGAGCTCATGGGCCTGCCTCAGCGGCGTCTTGTCAAATTAAAGGATACAAGTAAAGGATACACTACAGAACAGCCTGGTGGCCCTGTGCTCAACTCAGGACGGATGAGCCCGGAGCCCCATGCGAGGAGCATGCGCTTGTGCATCAGCCCGTGAATGCGGCTTTCATCAGCCTGAAACCAATGGAGCTCACGGGCCACAAAATGGGTGTCTTGTACGGTAGGATGCATCTGGCTCCGAATTCCTGTGCAGCCAACGTATACAGGAGCCACCGGAAATGCCTGAACTTGTGCGCGGGGCTTAATGTCGGCGACGCTGCTGAGATGCGGCAAGTCCATGAGTTGCAAGACCTTTGCAGCACTGGCGACATGAGCAGTAATTGCAGCTACATAGAAGCTTTTGGGGGTTCAGTCACTCTCCATGTGTAGCGCTACCGCACTCGCCGCACTTGCCTCCCTCACCTCACTCACTTCACTCATCTCACTCACCCTCACTCACCCTCACTCACCCTCACTCACCCTCACCTAACTCCCTGACCTCACTCACCTGACTCACCCTCGCTCACCTCACCCTCGCTCATCCTCTCACCTCCCTCATGTCAGCTTATCTGCATCTCGGCATGTCCAGCTTCTCAGGTCAGCCGCGGCTTCTAACCAGCAACATCTCGGGATTCCTGCTGCGTATGTTCGTCGCTTGTCCACGCTTGGCCGCATGCGTGCCCATCCTGCGGGCACAGCATGGCAGAGCTGCCAAGGTGTCATGCGGCAGATCGACTTGATAGGCTGGGACAAGATGCAGTGGGCTCGCGGGTTTACGCTTCTGCATTGGGCTGCGAAGCACGCCCATCAACTGCGCTAGAGACATGTTGAGATTGCCTCCTGCAGCCAGCAGAAGGACATGCCGATGTGAAAGCTAAGGACAGAGCAGATCTCTGCGACTCTTGGACATGCTCCGTGCAGACGATATATAGGCATAGGGTTCGAATCGCAGAGCCGGTGAAAAAAGTCGTGAATCTCAGGAACTTTTTTTGTGGCACGGAGCCGACCCAGAGCACAGAGATGCATCCGGCCACTCTGCTCTCGACTATGCGAGACTACGGCAGCCGGAAGCTTCCGCTGTCGTGGATGCTTTACTTCGTGGTAGCTGGGCAAGCATGGTTCTGACATGCATGTGGATGCAAAACGGCAAAGCAAAGATTGAGTATATAGCAGAAGAGCGGTAAAGATTGTGGTCGTGTAGGCAGGCAGTAGTTGCGCTGGGCGGCTTACTCTGCGAAATTTGCTTGCCTGCAGCTGAGGCAGGCCGTCGATGAAGCCGACGGTGGGCTGAGCCGCGAGGGCCTGCGGATTGCAGGGGGCCTGCACCTTTGGTGACGGTACGTGTAAAAAATGTGTTGTGCAGACAGTGTAACTGACAAACGAAGGGAGTCACAACACATGCTGTGCTGCCGTCTGCTGTTTCCAAGCACATCCACAGCTGATGGATTTGATGGTCGAGGCTGCTGCAGAGAGCTCTGCAGCAACCTCTCCAGGGGTGTTGAAAAGTGGGGTGTTGTGTACATGATGATGCAAGCTGCGCGCCGGAACCAGCACTTTTTCAGTGCCAAAGATGAAGTTCCCGGGGCCAAGCATGAAACGCTTGTGTTGGCTCCGCCACCACCGTGGTCCGACCATCGGTTGCCCCGATCACACCAGATCCACGGCTGCGGGCGAGTTTCTAGTGCACAAAGCATCTCGATTTCCAGAATTCCTTGCATTTTACTTGTTGCTGCAAGTGTAGGCAGATGTTTGCAGGCATGACGAGATTGAAGCCGTGTTTGTCAGCCGCTGTGTCATCCCTGACCGCACGCGCTCGGCTAGATTAGATGTCGATGCTTGCAGTAGGATTCCTCTACCAACCCAAGCCTCCTGGATCGGTGTGAGGGCATTGGGGCCATGTACTTCCCTGGCGGAGATTCGTAATTCGCCGCCACGCGGGTTCTGCGCATGAGAAAGAAGTCGCCGCGATCCGACCCCTGCATCATCTCAAGGCCAATGACTGCGTCAGGTCCCGTCTCCGGGATTCCACCGCAGATGATGAGATCTACCCAGACAGCAACTTGCGAGGTGTACTGGCCCCAGATTCCATCAGTGAGTGGGTCTCAGCAATATTCAGCAATTGCAGTGAGTTTCCGGCGATCTGTGACAAGACGTTGCATGTCAACATGGTCGTGCAAACGGCTAGGTCGAAGTCCTGGAAGTGCTGTCACTCTCAGCGCCCTTCAGCCTGGAAGGCGCATGTCGTGACGTCAAGGAACGACAGGACCATAGCTTGTTGAGCTTATCAACTGCTGCGCCTGACATGTCGGCCGATTCGGTTGAGCGATCCGCTCCAAAACGTGGGTCCCCCATGAGTACTTCGTACGGTTTTGGTTTCAACACTGTGCCCTTTTGAGGCTCTTGAGTGCAAGGGAGACCGATTCGGCAGCTACTTGTGATTGTGGCTCCAATCGCAGCGCAACACTGTTCGGGAAACTGCAGTTGGCCGTTCTGAGTGCTAGTCAGCTAGCAGCTAGGTGTGGACTAGCTCAGTACTGGGGGCACTGGCTCAAGCGCTGCGTGCAGGTGGCTCGTGCGGAGACGCCGGGTGTCTAGCATTCAGCCCAGCCACAGCCCAGGCTTTTTGCATGGATCCAATCTTGCCCTCGTCCATCCTCCTTCGAAAAGTTGTTTTTTGTTTATGTGTATAATCCACGTCTTGCAGCCGCTCTGAGGAGTACCTGGGGGACTCGATGTGTTTCGATGTCAGGATGGGCATAGGGCGTGGAAAGGGTGAGCAGACCCGAAGTTCGTCTGCATGCTTGACCAACCTTGACTTAGGCAATGCCGATCACTGTCTCGCACATTTTCCTGTTCGGGCATATTTGGGCCACAGTTCCACGTCTTCCCGGCTCAGGTCCTTCGGACCAGGTGGAGATGAGTGAGGTGGCCTCGTGAAGCGACGGAGCCGACTTCCGATAGCTGCACAGTCGGTACAGTACCCCTGAGAGTCCAGATGTTCGGAGACCTGTGCGGAGACCCGACAAAATCGGGGGGAAAGCATATGAAAGCATGTCCTCGTCAGTGATGCTTTTGGACCAGAGTCGAAGCGTCCAGACAGTACTGTATCCGAGGTGGCGCCGACCACAGACATGAGCCAGCTGTCACCGATGATGCGCAGAGTCTATAGGCTTTACACCAGCTTGCTTCACGGATTTCTTTCAGTTAAGAGACAGGATGCTGCGCTTTGCAGGCCTGTGGCAAACTGGGCACAGGCCGCGCAAGCTGCCGCGAGCTGTTCGAGTCCAGGCTGTGGCGAGCAATTCGAGTCCCGCTGTGGCGCAGGTGCTGGAGCAGCTCCGTTTAAAGCCTCCCCTTGGTCTTCACCAGCTCCTTCCTCAACCTCCTTCTTTCAGAAAGGCATGCGGTGCACAGACGCGGAGTGTCTGAGTGCAGCCGAGGTTGGTGCACAAATTAACGCCCCCCTCGCCGAGGCCCGGTCGAGACTGAAGCATGCGACAAATTCATTTGCATGGCCATGTCCTCGTGCAAGGGCAAAGCCGCAGCCTGCGCCCAGAGTCGCGGCCTGATGCGGCCTCCAAGACATGGACGTGATTGGAAGTGCATGCTTGACGAACAAAGCTGCCACAGCGTTCGAATTCGCCAAGGCGAACGAGCGACCTCCGGGTCCTTGGGAGCGGGCACGCGTTGCAGCCAGGACACACTCTCTGCCCTGCCTTGCACATGGGCTGCAGGTGCAGCAAGGAGCCACACTTGCTTCAACTCAACCAGCGCTCTGGGCCAAGCAATTGCCACTGCGTGCGTCCTCGTGCTGTGGGTTCTCTCAGAGATTGGTTTGAATGGTCAATGTTGCCTCATGCTGACGCTGAAGGCCTGCGCTGCAGTGGTCCAGTGCGGGGCGGCCAAAATTGGTGTGGAAGCTCAGTAATGAGTCGAGCCTGGCTGCTCTTCAGTTGCATGCAGAGTACCGGGTGCAGGTCCTGAAGCCTCGTGATCCTCAGCTGGGCCCTGTCGTGCCGGAGGCATCTGCCACAGAATCTTATTTTGGACCAACAGCATGGGTTACTCGGCAGGTTGCTGCGACGGAGCCACAGCCACAAGCCACGGCCACGGCCACCGCCACAACAACACAGCCTCCAACGCAGACCAGGCCTGTGCCTCTACACTTGTCACAGCAGCACATCACCTCGTCACCCGCCGTCTCACCAAGCAAGCAGTGCCCAGCACAGCCCCAGCCTTCGCCAGCGGCAGTGCGACAACCGCAGCCTGCCGGATCTGAACAAAGGGCCAGGTCGCCGCAAACGGTCGTTCCTCGACTGCAGCTGAGTGCACATGGCTGGACGCAAAGCCGAGCAAGGCCTAAGTCTCTATCCAAGGTTGTCGGTGCAGTCCAAGCAGCCGCCCAGCCAGCTTCCCAGCAAAAGGGTTCGTTGCTTGCCGTAACCCCGAAAGATGCGTTCACTAACACACATTGGTAGACTCAGCTGCAGGAGCGGCGCCGTGTCACCCAGCGGAAGGCCTAAGCTGCAACTGAAGCCACGAAATCCAAGGCGGGCGAGCTGAATCAATGGCCAAGGAGAGCCCCATTTGGCCAGCTTCCCCATCTGTTTGAGGCTTGCCGCTCCCGGCGAAGACGAAGTGCCTTGGCTTGGAGATTTGCCTTCCAGCTTTGAGTCGAAAGCTTGAATTGCTTCTGCACTGTAGCCGATGGTCAACATGAGAGGAGGCGGGGTTAGTGCGAGCGCGAGTGCTAAAAATTTGCCTTGTGGAATGGTTCAGCACGCCAAAGGCTGTGCCAGCCACCAGGCAAAGAAAGAGAGGACAGAGTCATGCATCATTCGAGGCAGCAGCGAAGTCCTCGCCGGCACCAGCACCGCAGCCACAGCAGCCCCAGCAGCCGCAGCAGCCGCAGCAGCCACCACGGCAACAGGCGCAGCAAATCCAGCAGGCGGCACCGCAGCAGCAGGCGGCACTGCAACAGCAGCCACAGCAACAGCCGCAGCCTGCATCACGTCCTCAGCCACAAACGGTCGTTCCTCGACTGCAGCTGAGTGCACATGGCTGGACGCTCAGCTTGCGCAGCCGAGCACGTCCTAAGTCTCTATCCAAGGTTGTCGGTGCAGTCCAAGCAGCCGCCCAGCCAGCTTCCCAGCAGAAGGGTTCGTTGCTTGCCGTAACCCCGAAAGATGCGCTCACAAACACACAGTGGTAGACTTAGCTGCAGGAGCGGCGCCGTGTCACCCAGCGGAAGGCCTAAGCTGCAACTGAAGCCACGAAATCCAAGGCGGGCGAGCTGAATCAATGGCCAAGGAGAGCCCCATATTGGCCAGCTTCCCCATCTGTTTGAGGCTTGCCGCTCCCGGCGAAGACGAAGTGCCTTGGCTTGGAGATTTGCTTCCAGCTTTGAGTCGAAAGCTTGAATTGCTTCTGCACTGTAGCCGATGGCCAACATGAGAGGAGGCGGGGTTAGTGCGAGCGCGAGTGCTAAAAATTTGCCTTGTGGAATGGTTCAGCACGCCAAAGGCTGTGCCAGCCACCAGGCAAAGAAAGAGAGGACAGAGTCATGCATCATTCGAGGCAGCAGCGAAGTCCTCGCCGGCACCAGCACCGCAGCCACAGCAGCCCCAGCAGCCGCAGCAGCCGCAGCAGCCACCACGGCAACAGGCGCAGCAAATCCAGCAGGCGGCACCGCAGCAGCAGGCGGCACTGCAACAGCAGCCACAGCAGCCACAGCCGCAGCCTGCATCACGTCCTCAGCCACAAACGGTCGTTCCTCGACTGCAGCTGAGTTTGCACAGCCGAGAACGTCCTAAGTCTCTATCCAAGGTTGTCGGTGCAGTCCAAGCAGCCGCCCGGCCAGCTTCCCAGCAAAAGGGTTCGTTGCTTGCCGTAACCCCGAAAGATGCGCTCACAAACACACATTGGTAGACTCAGCTGCAGGAGCGGCGCCGTGTCACCCAGCGGAAGGCCTAAGCTGCAACTGAAGCCACGAAATCCAAGGCGGGCGAGCTGAATCAATGGCCAAGGAGAGCCCCATATTGGCCAGCTTCCCCATCTGTTTGAGGCTTGCCGCTCCCGGCGAAGACGAAGTGCCTTGGCTTGGAGATTGCCTTCCAGCTTTGCGTCGAAAGCGGTAAGTCAGTCAGCTGATAGGTCAATGGAAGGGGTGCCAGACGTAACGGCTGCCAGAGTGCTGCATGTACAGCTGGGGCGACGGTTCAACACCTCCTGGGCAACACCTCTGACTCAACAACCTTTGTATCCTCGACCCTGAATCGAGAGTAAGTGCCGGACGGAGGTGTCGCAGCCTTCCGCCGTGCCAGTGCAACGGCAGACCATCCAGTCCCAAGGGCCTGCGCCACAAGCGCAGCCCCAGATGCTGCCACAGCCAGCTCCATCTGCACCTGGCCTTCGTTGGTCCTTATGTATCTACTCTACATTTGTTACTATCCGTTCATATCTACACATTTGTGTATATACGTATACACGCATGGTTACAACAACGTATACATACAACAACATCGCAAAGCATAACGAAGTAAAGCACTGTTGGTGGCAATATCATAGCTACAAGTAGTCTAGCATAGCACAGCATGGCATAACACACTGCAACGTACTACAAACTGATACCATGCAAGTCGGCGTAATACAATACTACATACTACAAGCCGATATCGATTGTTACAGGACAGTATACGACAACATCACATTGATTAGCAACCAATGGTATCGTACGGCATGATGCGACCTAATCTGTTATGGCACGGTATGGCATGATTTGATATGCTATGGTGTGATGGCCATGTGATGTGATAACGCTTAGGCAGACAGTAAATAGTATTCAACATAGAACGCGAGAGCATACTTCAATGTAGAATTGGCTGGTATTGGTACAGTCGGGTAGGGTCTTGTCGAGCCGAGTGGAGTAGAGCAGTAGCTGAGTCGAGTATAATCATGTTACAGCATATCATATAGTATGTAAAGTACATGCTTAGCTAGCCGTTGGCAGTGGTC